CGGAGGTTGAAGCCATTAGTTACATTCCCAAAACGAGAACCTCACACATTCGTGGGATAGTCCAGCTCACGTGATACATTTTCTATTGTATATATAGTTTTTTTTCTGTTCTTCCGCTCAGAGTCGGTATTATTGTTCTACAACACACATATTCGATTATATACATTATATTCGGTTATATACATCAAAAAAAAAAAAAAAAAAAACTATATATACAATAGAAAATGTATCACGTGAGCTGGACTATCCCACGAATGACGTAATAGGACGAAACGTGAGAAACAAGAAACGAATATATAGCCAAACAGATTAGCGTCGATTAGCGACACCTAATGACGCTAACATCTACAAACTATTTATTATCTATTCTCGATGAATCTCCCGTCGCATCTACAAATAACTCGGTTTGATGCTTTTCAATGAAAGAAATAGAAAAATAATTAAAAATAAGTAACAATTGTCTTTTGGGTGTGGGTGTGTGTATTAGGGGAGGGGGGGGGGTGTGGGTGTGGTTGGGTGTGGGGTGTGGGTGTAGGTGTGGGGTGTGAGTGTAGGCATAGTTCTTGTGTACACTCGCACCCACACATCCATACCCCACACTCCACACTCCACACCCACACCCACACCCTCACACCCACACTCCACACCCACACTCCACACCCACACACCCACATTCACACCCACATACGCACATCCATATCCTCCCCCCATCCACGCCCCACACCCAATACCATTGACTCAAAAATTTTTTGTGATATGTACATATATGAGACGATTGCAAGCCATTTGTACCATTTACAACAAAAAATGGTTAAGCTTATATCTTGCAGAATTCTCAACCAAATTCAATAATTTTATCAGCAAATATTCTTCACCAGTGTGGCTAGTTTGGCTGCTAAAATTAGTCATTTAGCTATTATACAGGGTGTCCCAAAAAAAACTTACCCCTTTTTAGAAGGTGTTTTTTTCATCTTCAAATAAGCTATTTTGTTTGCTTTCTTTTCTAGATGGATAGGGCTGGGAGAAAGCTAGTACGTAATACGGTTGATATTTTGAAAAAGCTTCATCCTGATTGGGGAGCTAAAAAATTTTTATCAGATATCAAACCGATGCTGGACCGACAACACATACAATATACAAGCGAAAATTCTTTACTGCAAAACATCAAATATCAAATCAAGAAGTTTAATGAAACTGGAACAACAACGGTTCGTCGATCCGGCTCTGGTCGTCCAGTGACAAAATCAAACAATCAACCGTTAACCCTTTACCCCCCAATGGGTCATATATGACCCATTTGTAGACATGATCACAGAAAATAAAGAAAGCATGAGACTGAAAAACTCCCAAGACATTATTTGTAGGGAATTTCACAAGCTACCAATTGGTAAAAAAATATTTTGTTTCATTGCTCTGCCTTCGAGATATATGACTTACAAAATCGATAATTTTGAAAAAAATGGAAAAATTCGAAATTTTATAAACAAAATGTTCTCTACTTGCAATCGATAGAGGTCTTTTGGAATTTCTGTGCGATATTAATCGATGAAGAAGTCCACTGCTGAATTAGATGCGTTTCGAAAGCTTCATGATAACTCCGCGAATTATGCATACTAAGGAACACAATTGACCATGTTGTCACTGTTAGACAGATGGAGGCTAATCAAGAACAAAGTTAATATATGCGTTATAGACCTCAACTCATGAGAAGTCGAAATAATATTTATGATGAATTAAATTCCTTCAGGCGGTACAAAATGGCTCTGAGTAAAATAGGCTTAAATTTGACAATAGGTGTAAAAAAAGCATGTATTCGTTGATGTTAATTTTTATTGGTTTACTCGTTGCGCTTTTCCTGTCACTTCAATAGTATGAGATAGATGCTGCTTCTGTCCAGTCAATAATGTGGTCAAAGAAAAAAAAATTAAGTCTTATAATGTCGTTCAATTCCCATTTTCCACCACATGATTTTTACATCAATCAAACCACCCTACTCCAGGAACAGGACATTCAGTGGATTAGGCCACACCATTGGCATATTTGACAACCTAATACTCTATTCATAAAGTTATTTCATCAGTGGCTCTTCTGGAACCGCTATGGGGGGTAAAGGGTTAAATGAGTTGAAAAGAAAGGTTTTAAACAAAAGAAGATGTTCGGTTCGAAAGTTTGCATCAAAATCAAAATTGAATGTATCAAAATCTACTGTTCATCGAAATTCGCGAACTATTGCTGAACCGTATCATCGTCGAACATCTTCGAAGGTCACAGAACAAAATACTGTGAAAAGAAGAAAATTTGCTCGTTGGCCGAAAAGATATTGGAAACTTGATCCAAGAGTACCAGGTTCTAAATGGCAACGATTAGTCAATACTGATTTTTCTAAACCTATTCGTCTGACACCACAGCTCAACACCAAAAATGATATTATTTGGTCTACTAGTCGACGAGACGCTGATACACATGGTGGTTATTATGGTCGTGAAAAGTTTTCTCCTAGTGTCATGCTTTGGGGTGGCATAAGTTGGAATGGTTTAATTCCAAAAAAGGCTCCTGTATTTATCGACGAATTTTTGGATGAATACCAATGGTCGAAAGGTAAGAAAAGAACAATTAATGGTGCTCGATATGAAGATCTAATTACTAATGTCCGTCCAAAAAGTCCATGCGTGTGACTGTTTTTTGAATAACTCGAGAAAGCAAACAGCTAGAGACCTGCGGTTTTCACCAATTGAAAGAGGAGGAGTTAGGGCGTCTTTTTCTCTGATAATGTGTCAGACGAAATTCTTTTAAAATTGATCATCTTTGAAAAACATAGAAAAGAATGCATGAAGGTGACATACAATCCGCATGAAGTTTCGATAATGAGCTTTGATTTAGATAGAGGCACTTCAGATCTATAGTTCAAAACATAATAAACTTTCTTACATTTCATTACATTTTTATCGAAGTATCCAGCGGTTATGACAAAAAATGCAAAAACGTAGTAAAACATCAGCAAAATTCCCTATTATTTGCGCATGTAAATATATGATTTCATTTGATCAACATTAGAACGCAATTAGAGAGCCATTTACGTTGCATCTTGAACTATAGATCTGAAGTCCCTCTATCTAAATCAAAGGTCATAATCGAAACTTCATGTGTATTGTATGTCACTTTCATGCATTCTTTTCTATATTTTTCAAAGATGATCAGTTTTAAAAGAATTTCGTCTGACACATTATCAGAGAAAAAGACGTCCTAACTCCTCCTCTTTCGATTGGTGAAAACCGCAGGTCTCTAGCTGTTTCCTTTCTCGAGTTATTCAAAAAACAGTCACACGCACGGACTTTTTGGACGGATATTAATATTGCTTATCCATCTATTCTGGAAAAATATCCAAAACATGAAGCAATTTTTCAAAATGATGCAGCAAAAATTCATCGGACTCCAGCGGTGCTTCGAAAAATTGACGGTTTTTTTAATGAAAGAATGCCAGTTGATGTTCAAAGTCCAAAATTCGATGATGTGTGGGCCATTGAAACGGTGTGGGGCATTATATATGAAAAACTTCTTGATACAAAATACTCAAATATTAACGAACTGAAGAGAGAAATCAAAAAAATTTCGCAATCATTTTCGTCTCAGCAATGTCAATCCATCATTTCATCAATGGTTCGACGAACTTCTTTGTTAATAAAAAACGGCGGGAAACGTCTATGTCATGATGATTATAGATCCTTATAGATTTTGAAATAAAAGTAATTTTTCATTTGAAATGTATTTTCTTTTATAAGCCAAAAAAACTTTAGGGGCTAAGTTTTTTTTGGGACACCCTGTACAACCATGATTTGGTCCCGGAACAAAATTCGAAACTAACAAGTTTATTGTGTGTTCCTACCTACAATAGAGTCGCTTCAAAATAAAAGTATTTCTGTCTTGTAACATTTTCTTAGCTCTATCTATTACAATAGAAGTTAGTTCCAAACTCAGTAGTATAAGTACAAAAATTAAATTTCAAAAAGGGGGTAAGTTTTTTTTGGACATCCTGTATATCAATAGAGGGCATGAAAAAGATGTCGCTAGTCCATTGAAATTTCACATGGTCATGTGCAATGGCGGTTAATTAAATTTATTTTATTTTCTGTTTAAGAATATACTTTTAAAATTTATTTTAACTTATTAGTATCTTTGTAGGATTCGCTAGAAAATGCACTATTTGAGGGGTGTGGGTGTGGTGCGGGTGTGGGTGTGGGTGGGTGTGTGGGTGTGGAGGTGTGGGTGGGTGGGTGTGGGTGTATGCGGGTGTGGGTGTGTGGTGGGTGTGGGTAGGGTGTGCCGTGTGGGTGTGGATGAGGGTGTGAGGTGTGGGTGTGGATGTGGATGTGGGTGGGTGTGGGTGTGGATGTGAGTGTGGGTGGGTGTGGATGTGGGTTTAATGGTCGTATCACTACCCACACCCACACCCACATCCACACCAACACCCACACCCACACCCATACCCACACCCACACCCACACCCACACCCACCCACACCCACACCCACCCACACCCACACCCACCCACACCCACATCCACCCACACCCACACCCACACCCACACCCACACCCACACCCACACACCCACACCCACACCCACACACCCGCACACCCACACCCACACCCACACCCACACACCCGCACCCACACCCACACCCACACACCCGCACACCCACAGCCACACCCACATACCCGCACAGCCACACCCACATCCACACCGACACACCCACACCCACACCCACACCCACACCCACATCCACACCCCACACCCCACACCCACACCCCGAGTGATGTCATAATCCTGTTACAGCCCGTATCCATATCTATCCTAAGGAATTACGACATTACATACCTCGCGTATCAAATCCATTATCATCACCAACATCTACTGAGCATCTTTGAAAGTTGAAGAATATGAGTGGATTCAGTGTAACCACATCGTTACAGCAAATAAACTATGTATTTAGAAGTTGAAGGATATGAGTGGATTTAGGGTATTACCTTTCCGTAATGAGACGTGAATGGAGATTGATCTAGCTGTGTGTTGAGAAGTTGAGGGATATGAGTGGATTTAATGTAACGACCACGTTACAGAAAATGAACTATGTATTTAGAAGTTGAGGGATATGAGTGGATTTAGGGTATTATCCTTTCCGTAATGAGATGTGAATGGAGATCGATGTAGCTATGTATTTGAAAGTTGAGGAATATGAGTGGATTTAATGTAACGATCACGTTACAGAAAATGAACTATGTATTTAGAAGTTGAGGAATATGAGTGGATTTACTGTAACGACCACGTTATAGAAAATGAACTATGTATTTAGAAGTTGAGGGATATGAGTGGATTTAGGGTATTATCCTTTCCGTAATGAGACGTGAATTGAGATTGATCTAGCTATGTGTTTAGAAGTTGAGGGATATGAGTGGGTTTAGGGTATTACCCTTTCCGTAATGAGAAACCAACCGTAGATACGTACGCAACACTATGTATAGTGCATTTCCTACATCATAGGGGTCATATGATGGCCATTGTCTTATTCGTCAGTTATCTTCGATCTCAGCCAGATCAAATTGACCGTCATTATTGTTCTTTCGTGTTTCATTGTACATCTACATAAGTGTCGACTATTGCAGCAATCGTCACTCAATGATCTTTCAATTTCCAAACCAGTCACAATTGACAATGCAATGGATCTTATGAACGATCACTTCATTATTTTTCTGTGAACTGAGGAAGCATTGAGCTATTTATATTCAACAATCGGTGATCTTCTGTTTTGTACCGCGTTCTACTACGCTTGTTCAACCAACTTTAAACAGAAATAATACTCTGTTACGAAATCT